ATTGTAAATTTACGAAATTTATTGTACTGAATTAATCCGCGATTCATTTTGGAAAATTTTGTTTCCCCTTGATACCTTACCTAATCTCCACTAGCACCTCCAAAAAAAGGTGTCTGGTGGCAAGGCAGCTTTTTCGGCTTAAAATTATCGCAAATCCAAAAACCAAAAATTTCTGTTATTATTATAAATATGTATATATTACAGATGTGGAATGCATGTAATGATCGAAGGACCAAATCAAAATTGCCCTGTTTTGAAAAAATTTACACTTCAGCGGGACTTAAAAACCGAAGTTAATATCAAAAATCTTCATTCGATCATTACCTGACAAATATAAGAAGGTTTCGGAGAAATTTTCCTCGCGGACTCTGAAATTTCATTGAATCATGAATTTCAAGAAAAACCCGTGTTAAGTTTTGGGAGCCACTTACAAAATTCTTAAAAATACATATAAATAAACTTCGTGCCAAACTTAATATTCCTTGTGCAGGGTATAAAAACGGTTAATTAATAATGTCTCACAACAAACTTTTCGTGGCAGTGGCAGTTGAATTTTATGTAAAAAAAAAATTATTTAAATCAAACGCATAAATTTAATAACAGCTTTGGAAATTTTCGAAAATTTTAGTACTCTCTTGTTGTTGTTAACTGGGTTCAACGCTTCAGTTGGCAATTAATTTGCATATTTAAGCTTATAAAAAATCAGCACTGAATGTTTATAAATTTAAAACACATGCAAGAATTCACGTACACCAAACGCATGCGCTTGTAGATTAAGAAAAAAATTTCAAAATATTTACATACATATACTATATACACATACACGGATCTACATGCAGCAAAAAATCTCGTCAGTGCATTGATTTCTACATACAAACACACATAGCTGAACCAAAATCGCCCAGCACTTAACAAAGTCGAGCGAGCGATAAAGGCTGACTGCATTCCAGTCACTACTCGCGATCAGCGGCGCGCGTGTTCTGAACTCTACCTTTTGTTTACCTCGCCTCCTGTACACCTCGAATGGAAATTGCTATCATTGCTGCTTTTTGCATTGAATTTAGTGTTTTTTGTTATTGTTTTTAGCAAGGTTTACCTTGACTCGCTTTTTGCCTTTCAATTTCTATCTGTATCTATTTATTGCCATTTGTTATATTTTTCTCCACAAGCTCACATTAATTTCATAGAATTCGCACTTTTTCATTTTTGCCGTTGTTTGGCTACTTTTTTTTATTGCTTTTCGTTGTTTGTTTTTTTTTCTGTCCACCTAACGGGTTTCAATTGTTATTGACAATATTTACACTCATTGAATTGACTTGACAATTGATTTTTTATCTCTTTCGCTTTGACTTCTATGCGGAGATAAAATTTTGCCATTCTGTTGGACGCTACTTTAGTCGAAAATGCTTGCATTTGTTTGCGTGTGTCTATTTTTAAAAACTAATTATTTTCTTATTTTTGTTTTTATATTTGCTTCCCATATTTATCTTATTAATTTTATACCATTATTTAATTTGTCAAGCTTTAATTGGCATGTGAGCTATTAAGTCATATGACAGCATAATATTTCTTTCTATGTATATGTATATAAACCTTTTATTTAAACAACCATTAAAATATACTAGACGGCTACAGCAACAGTCAAATGTCAGTCAGTTAAACGGTTGCTGGCCAATAAAAGGAGCATACAAAGTCGCTAACTGTATTGTATTTCCAGCAGACGTATTAAGTCGCTCAGGTGTGGAAAAAGTTCAATGGAGAACATATATTATTCTGAGTTGCCACAGCCTGAAGCCGTCCATAACTAGACACTTTTTGTTCGAAGTTGATTTTATTCTTTACATATGCTCCTTTTGCAAACCTGGTTTCAGTTGGCGCATCAAAATATTCAGGCACTATAGTCCCAACATTTGTTATTTTTTAGATAAATTTTCTCAATAGATTTTAAATATTTTTACGGATCAGTTTCACGGTGATTTAATCCAAAATAATCGTTAGGCCACCAAAGTACACAATATATCACAATTCTGTTAAAAAGTACTGCCTATCATACTTTTTGATCACCCTTACGTATTTATAATTCAGACACATCTATTAAGCTCTTCAGTGTCCTTGTTGCTGTTACATTTGTTGCAGCCGTTTCCATTGTATTGAGTTGCCTCTACGTCTGCCATATTTTATTGTGTTTATTTAATAATTTATTCTATACACTCCAGTTCACCACTTTCAATACAAAACTTACCTACCGCCGGTGAAGCGACGCACTCACAGAGCTAGCAAGTGCAACGCCAATAAATTCTAAAGCTTTGCACGTGGGCTTTACAAACAAAGGCATGAAGTTAAATATTTTTTCATTTCGTCACTTTTATTCTCACCGAGTAGAAGCTGCGAATACAAAACGCCACAGCAAGGGATTAGCTTCGCTTTAACAGCAACTTTGACTACAAACTGGTTTATAGCTCGCTTCAATATTTTCGAATAAAAATTTAAAATTAAATTAAAGGCTTTTGCCGTTGGCTCAAAATTGCAAATGATTAAGTAAAAGTTGTTTACAAATACTTAACTGATGTCATTTTGAAATATTGTGTTTGTGTTCAAATTGAAGAGTGGTTAGTAACGGCACAGTGTTTGTCAGTGCGGCTAAATTAATTTAGGGAAAATATAAAATTAGTAAATGAGATAAATCTTAGATGATTTTTGGAAATAATATTCACCCAGACAACTCAAGCTAGTTTCCAATTTATTGGGGTTAAAATTCAAAGTTATTGAAACAAATCATCGACCGAAGGAATCGGTCGTCACATCGGTAAAAGTGTTTTGGAAATGCAAGACAATAAACGATTTCAATTGACTGAAAGAAAGGTTAAATCTGACATTTGTCACTCATAATAAGTTTTAATAAGACTTGTGAATTTCAAAAAATTTAATTTTTGGCTAATATATCAAATATAATATTAATATATTTGAGAATGTGCTCCGTAAATTTGAAGTTGATGCGGCAAATAGTATCAGAGACATGAGCGGATTTACAAAAAAAAAAAAACATTTTTACTTAGTGTAAAAGTCTCCGAAACTGCTGGATCGAACGATTCAAAATTTTCACACGACCTTCTAAGATATATTAATCAGATATTGATCGAAGAAATGAGATTTTTGGTAACAATTTCGTTTCGAACCTTCAGCGTGGGCTAAATTTTTTTTCACAAAAAACCACTTTTCTTTGGAGTTCCGCTATTTTGTGAAAAATCAAAATTTTGACTAGTCTTTTGGTTTTAAACATTTTTGGTTTTAGGATTTTAGATAATTTTAATCAGAAAAATCATTCTCACCGCCAGACATCTTTTTAGGAGGCCTCCGGCAGATCGGCTGGGGATCCAAAACTTTTCAAAATGAGTTGTTGATTATAAAAGTACATTTTGTTTTATATATTTATTATATAAAATGCCTCTTCAGAAAAAGTTCACAAAAAATGCCTTTTGACTTGCAAGTGGATATAATCCTTTAAGTTGTTAATTAAAGCGAACCAAATTTTCTGACATGTAGATATGACCCCTTTAAGTTGCTGACTAAAACGCACCATATTTCATCACCACATGTTTTTCTGCTCTTTTCGAACTTAGTTATAATTTCATTTGACATTTGTATAACATTTTTTTAAACACATTCACACCGAAAGCAAAAGTTTTTCAAACTTTCAACATCTTTAAAATTGTTCAACTCACTAAAAACCTGACAGGAAGTAAACAAGTTGGGTGAAAACTTTTTGACCAACTTAATATCAAATTTCACCGCCGCAGCGCATAAAACTGTCTAACCACTTTGTCGGTAGTGCCGCTTAGTTGGCATATTGTTGCCATTGTTGGAAGTGGAATTAAAAGTGTTTCTGAGCAAATAAAGAGTGTTTAAAAGAAAAAAATTAAAATAAAAACCGACTTATAGTATAAAATATTGGCTATGGCTATTATTAGCAGTGAATTGGTTGGTTTGTTAGCAGTTGAAATTAATTAGTGATATCAATCTTTAATATGCCTATTTTCAAAACTTTTTTGTTAATGCTTCAAAATTTATTTTACGACCGTATCCCCATCCAATCCGTTATAATTTCGAAGGGTTCGCGCCAGTCAGCTTCAGCACGAAAAACTTTAAAGCGTTTTTCTCAAATCGGATGACGATTGTATTCGCAGATCTCACGTAACCACTGCAGTTTCACAGTAACGCTATCTACTTGGTACTGCCATAAGTTCAAGCCATTATAAAAATAAAATTAAAATAATTTTTTTATTTTATAATATATTTGTTTAATAACACATATATATATATATATATATATTAGATAAGTGATGTACGAAATTTCATTCGAAATGGTCACATTTTGCTTTCACATAAGCCCTCAAACGCGATTGATCAATAGCAGCACGCACATTTTCTAGTTGTATTGACAAGGTTGCTCGAACCAAAATTTGTTTGAGACTCTTATCAAATCATTCCAGATCCAGCCTTATTAAAATGGTTCCAAGCGGCAATTTGTGCAGACTTTAGTTCATTTGTAACCGAACAGTGTTTACATGACGGTTGAACTCAACGTGCTTTCATTTTTATTTATGGATCGTGTATATCTTTTTTGAAATTTGTGAATTTTTCCATTGAAAATGGCTTTCACATGAAGTTTACAGCTTTACTGCTAGCTTATCTATTCAACGCCAAATAACGTAACCGATCACACTTATACAACGCGAGATACATGCATGTTAACATATGAAAGCCATAATAATAGATTAATTTTGACTAAACCTCATATACATACGTACCTATGAGAGAATTTAAAACTGTTCTCTTTACGAACAAATGCCCCTATATTATAACTGCTTGCGATAATCAAGAAGTAACAGACATACATATGCAATTCTATATGAATGCGTACTGTTCATGCAGGAACGAAATGCTACAGTATTGGAGATAACACAAAAGCACATACAACTATTTCTGTTCCTTTTTAAATGCGTTCACTCTCGGAAACGTATGGAATATGAACACAAAGAAATGCAAATTCTGTAATTTGCTTTAGTGTTCATTTGACTCTTGTGAACGGAACGTCTTTTTAACGTGATTTAAGCCAAATAAAAAATAAAATTGAAATGCCTCGTCCAAGAAATGAACTTTTGCGACAAATGTTAGGAAAAAACGAATTAAATCAAGTTATTTGCAATTATGGCGGATGTATAAAAAAGGTATTAAGTGGACATTCCGCCAATATACAACGACATTTGCGCCTAATGCATCCAGTCATATACAACTCGTATCTAGAACAGAAGAACGCGAGCAAATATAACGATAACATAACAAAAAGTGCCGAACCACCACACGAAGTGCGGCAAAAGTGTGCACCCAAAAAATCGAATATTGAACTGGCGATAGTGGAGTTTTTTACAAAATGTGAACGACCGCTAAGCATGCTGGAGGATCGTGCCTTCAAAGTGCTAGCCGAACCGGCTTTCACTACGCTGAGCGTGAGTGTGAATCGAAACAGTGTACTGGAATTGATAAGCAGTTATGCGCAAAAATTGCGAGCAGAAATAAGTGATGATTTAAGTGGAAGTTTATTTTCATTGAAAATCGATATGGCAACTAAAGAAGATATTACACTGCTCGGCATTAATGTGCAATACATTAAAGGGAGAAGCATACAAATCAAATCGTTGGCCATAAAGGAGCTACAGAGGGGATATACAAGTGAATATTTGAAAACGCTAATAATGGAAGTTTTAAACGAATATTCGATTAATATACAAGAGATCTTAACGATAACAACAAGCAATGATAACACCATATTAGATGCCGTTAAAAAGTTAAATGACGATTTTCGTATTGCTTTAGGCGTTGACGAGAACGTTAACCATAAAACGATTAAAAACGAAAGCGGTTTCGATAGCAGTTTCCAAGAATGGTTGGAGGAAACGGATTTTGCCTCATACAAAATAACCAGTGTACTGAGTGGCACGCAAATACTAGAACTTTGTGTTCATGCCATTTTACAAAATCCAGAAATTAAGAAAAATCTAGATAAATGTGGCACATTATTGAAAGAGCTGGGCACACACGATGCTTGGCATATTAATGGAGCTGCCAATTGTGAAAATAAACAAAACGATTGTGTCGTAAATTGGACCACTATGTATGAGACGCTGATAAAATTACCCGATATGATACCGAAAAATAGTAATTTATATCTAAATACCGAGGAATGGAGCTTTGTTAGTGAATTCTTAGCAGTTCTAAAACCAATGTATAAAGCAACACAGAAATTACAAACCGATAAATTATGTTATAGTGAACTATATATTGTTATTATGAACACAGTATTTGACTTGGAAAATTTATCCAACAATAAAATGGCGAAATCACTTATTGATATTTTAAATAACCAAAAAACTAAATTACTTGAAACGGAGTTGTTCAATACGGCCGTATTTTTGGATCCACGCATACGAGTTTGCCTGGACGCGACGCAGAAATCGCGTGCCAAACAATATATAACGACGCTATATAATCGCGTAAGCACATTGAAATGTGAAACGACTAATTCGGAAACGAATGACAGTCCAATGGTCGAAGTGACAAACCGCGCAGAGGAACGACCGACGTCAAGCCATAATGCCAAAACGTTTTGTGAATTTTTACAAAATTTAGATAGCGACCCTTCACCAACGTCTGTTTCGTATTTAGATGCCGAAATTACACTGTACGAGCGTCAACCCAGACTACCGTTGGATGCGAATATAATTGATTTTTGGTTTTATCAACATAATAACTTAACGGATATAGCATATCTGATATTGGCGATACCATGTGCCGAAGTCAGTACCGAACGTTTGTCTGCAGCCTTTCAATATATTTTCGATGACAAACAAAATCGTTTGAGTGCTGCTAATGTAGATAATATATTGGTTGTTAAGGTAAATGGTGTGTTTAATTATGACGACTGACTTATAACTTGTAAATATAATATAATATTAATATTAAAATTCGATATAGTATTTAGTTTATAAAATGAAATAAAAAATATTTTTTACAATTTAACAATGCATGATCGACTTTCACCTGTCAATAAAATATCAAATTTATGCCAGAGATTTTTGTGAGTTTTCACAACATAATATTGTGTAAGAAAAGGTAGAAAATACTGCCTATGAGCACAGCACAAAAACTGTGAAACATTGTGAACATGGGGATGCGTTTAGGCCTCAGAAGTTAGTTCGTTATTTTAGATAAAAGAAAAAAATGTGTGCTCCAGACTACCTTAATTTACCTTGGTGATGCTAACATATTCCTAGGGAAATGGTCTTGAAATGGGAGTTCATGTTGATAATGATACCAAGAATGCCTCAAAACTTGTTAAGAAATCGTTATAGGACTAATGTAAAGTCGAAAACTTACAAACAAAGGTAGAGAAATAAAAAATCCACTCATATTTGTTTTGGATTAACAATACATGGATCTCAAAATACCAGACACAATTTGAGCTTAATAACTTGTGAACGATAGAATGAAATGTCATGAAATTTTGACAGTATTCTTCTTAAGGTTAGTACTAAAAGCCAAGCATAAAGAGTTTTTAGTGATCTCACGGACAAGGCAAAGACTTTTAATGAGCTAACAATCTTTATATTGATACATCTCTGTGTAATCATCCAACTATTCTAATTTAAACATTCTTTTAAGCAGTATTCGGGTACCCAAAACTTGAAGAATGATGAATCGATTAAACAACCAGTATACACACGAACCGATTTTCTTTACAAAAATTGGCACGTAAGCTTGAAATGTACTAAATCACCAATAATTAACAGCAGCAAAATTGTTACTTTTTTTTGTAAATAATAGCTGTGCCACTTGCTTACTATATACTTTTTTTTTATTTGTCAGTAATTGTTACTGCTTAAGTACTTGCAGTAAACGTTATTTTTGTAATAGTTCTACACATTTTTTCGCCCATTTAACCACTCGTTCGTACCGGTTTCTCCATCACGTTCATTTTGTTATATTTTAATCCTATTAGTTCGCTCAGTGCCTGCGCTGATTGTTTGGGCTCTGGCTGACATCAGTAACCGGTGCGGCGGCTAAGAGTAAGAGACTCTAATTTGCAGTTGTTACTCAAGTTCTTCGCTGTGTTTTGCGCTTCTTTTTACTTAATCGCTGTTGCTGACTAAATTATTTAAGCTCCACTCCATGCTGCAGCGGTCTGTCGCTCGTGTCAGCGCGGTTCACTGTGACACGACAACTTTGTTTTTGAATTATTGTATGTAGAACTGGAATAGCATGTGATTTGCACGGTTTTCATTTCCTCTCAGAAGTATTTAAGTTTCTCAATAACATATAATACTACAATATATAGACGTACTAGCTTCATTCGAACACATGTTGGTTTCTCTTTATAGCTAATTCTTTAAGTGTTGTAAATCTTATTTTTGAGTTCATTTTCATTATTTTTTCCATTATGGTTGCCAATTACGTTTAGTTTCGCCTTAGTTCGTCTATATTTATTCCTTCAATGAACGTTTTTCTTTTTTCTTCGTATTTCCTATTTATGAAGGAGCGACTAAGTTCTCAGTCGAAGTTTTGATGATATAGTAACGCTTAAATCAGGCCTCGGATAATAACATTCCATTCTGTGACCCTTTTAGTGAGACAATTTGCAAGTGATCGCGAGAGTGAGAGAAAGAGAGATTCGGCCGCATTAAAATCGGGCTCCGTTCCGGTTATGTAGATCCAGCTGTTTTCGAAAGCATCTAACTACCCGATGGAAATATATTTAATTATAACTTCAGCATGCTTCTTTCTTATATTTATGCTCAACAAATAAGTCTCTGGATTGGAAACAGTTTTGAAACAATAAGGACTCTGAACAGAACAATGTTTAGGAACATTACGCACTCTCAAACTCTAAAATTGATCGACGAGGAGCGAGCATAGTTGAAAGATTTCTATAATTTTATGCTCTTTTTTTAGCGAATTTGGTACTACTTATAATATATCAAAGTATATCCAATCAACACTCTGGAAAATCGCAAAAGTACTAACTACAATAATTTCGTAACCTATCTTGAATTTTCTTTCAGTACTTTTTATCATGTACCTGTATTTATAAAGTCCAGCGATTCGATATCTCTCCATCTGCCAGCACCCGTTTCTTCTTGTTCCACAAAACTTTTACCCATTACCTTATGGTTTTAAGTCTACTTAATGACTTATATGCACTTGTGAATTTCAAAAAATGAAAACAATCCGACAATTAGTTTCGGAGTTATGCATGAGCGCATTTGGAAGTTGAATTTAGTAAAATCGACTCGAAAAACGTGGCATTTTTCCTGACTTTCAAGTGGGTGTAATCCCTTAACTCCATCTTGTACTGATAGAGTACGAGTTATTGTTGGAGATTTGTGAGATGTAAGATGCGATTAATAATAAGTAATCTGAGATCTGCACTAAAATTACATTAAGAGGATCCTTTGACCATCTTATATATACAACTTTTGCGTATCAGTTCACCAGTTTACGACCTAGCCGCAGGTAGACTATAAAACTACTGTCTTCAGTGCAAAATACTGGGTTAGATTTGAGAATGTTGCATGGGTAGATTGCAAATCAATCGATTTTCATTCATAATTCTCAGAGAATCACTTGTTTAGAGTCTACAACAGTAAAAAAATGTTACACTCAAATTTTCAAAACCCTTAGCCCACGAACTCATCTACCCACCTTAGCATATGTACTTGTTGTTCAAATATCGGGGGGTAGCAAACAAAAAGCTTAATACTTTAGTTGATTATATTTTGTTGTGCTTCTGGCTTGCCATTCGGTCTTTATTGTTCAGAGGTTACGAGCAACTGGCGCGCGCGCGTACTAAGCTTCAGCTAAAAGAAGTCCAAACTTAATAACAGCAAAACACATATTGCTTGCGAGTGTGGAAAAGTCTGTTAGCGTGAATGTATAAATGACTGACGATATCTCCCAACAACCAACGGAGACGGGAAATTGTGGGACGAAATACTATCTTCATACTTATTTCCAAGTTTTAATAACTTTCCGTCTAAGCATGCCACTAGGTATTGTACGTAAGCTTGATTTTCACAATTTCTTGGTGTAAGAAAATAGCTTTAACAAATACAACAATTATTTAGCAATCGTGATGTAATCAATTAGTAGAGTGCCAGTTGGTCTGCTGGTCGGGCACACAACAACGTTGAACCGTTTCGCAGCGCTTCATTTGGGTTTGTGTTCATACCCGGCATTCACGTTGCATTCATTGTGGGTACTATTTAACATAAATAAACAATTAGGTATTCGAGAATAGGTATCTACATGGGTGTGTATGCATGTGTAACTGTTTTCATTTTTAGAATATAACAGAACTGCTGGCGATGAGATAATTGCTTACATAAATATATGATTTATGACATTTGCTTGCGATTTTGATATTTATACACTTAAAAATATAAATATTGCAAGGTTTTCAGTAGCTATAAGACTGCACGCAGTTTTTCTACTTCATTTTTAAACTTCGCTTTTCCATTTCTAATACTCGGCACGAGACCTTTACGCATACATATGTATATGGAGAGTAAACGCTTTTAAGGGACTCTAATATTTCCTAACCTTTCCCCGAAGTTTCTAAGGTTTCAAGTCACACTAACATCGAGATCCCTTGCAAAAGTCACAGATTCGTTGAGACTGAGTTTTTAGTGGTTATTATATTCTACTAATTGGCAAAACAAAGTACTTAGCCGAAGAAACAGTTAACTTTTCAAGTAAAGCCTATTTTGCTATACATCAGAAGAAGCAACAAAGTAATCTATAATCATTCTAAAAATATTTCATATGACAAGCTCTGCAGAATGATAAAACATGTGACACATTAGGAATTTTTAACTTAGAGTAGGAAAACCAGAAAATAAAACAAGATAATTACGGATTTTGAGTTGTGATGACTAAGCGCGTAAGCTCGTACTACATACAAATATTTGCCAATTGCAATTAACACAGATTTTCTGAAGCATTTCCAAAAGCAAAAAAAAAACAAAAACAAATATACCGCTAATCATTGCTATTACATGTGGTCTTTCTTACTAGAGTAAAGTAAATACAGACATACATACATATGTACATATGTTTTGAATGAGTTGCAGCAGCAACCGCAGCTTGAACACCTACCTCGGCTTTCCACCTTGGTGCCGTATTTTTTAATGCACAAAATTCCATTGTGTGCGTTTTTTATCACCGTTATGCGATTAGTTATTTGTCTGCGATAAATATGAGAGACAGGCATGACAGTCTGTACAAACATACACATGTACATGTGTACACAACTCACGAGCTGTAATCATCAGACCAGTAGATGCAGTCGCGTCAAATAATAATTCACACGTAACTAATTGAATTAATAGAAGAATAAAAGAAAATTAAAAAAAGAAGAAAAAATCACGCTACAGGAAAACACATACATATACGTACAAACGTGGCTTCGCATATTTACTTCTCAAAATCGAGGACTGAGCTACGGTGCGCCGCCATCAGCAAACACGAAGCTTTTATTAAATAAATTAGTCGTAAAGGAAGCATTAAAACACTAATAATAATAGCAATAATAATAAAATACCAAATAATGCCAGCGAATTGAAAATGTGTGTTGAAAAAAAACGGTTTTTTTTCTGACTTTTCGTGTGGAAAAGATTTACTACTGAACTGAATGTGCAATGATGGTATAAGAAACGAAAAACAAATGGCTAAATAACGTTGCAACAGGTGGGTAGATTTGAAAAAAGGCGAAAGTGAGACAAGTTTAATGAAAAACAGTGAAATGGAAAAGTGATTGATCAAAAAATCAAAAAAAACAAAAACAATTAATATTGGCAGATAAGAAAAATAAAGAAAAATGTCTGTAATTGATAGAAGAACATTTATCCATACACTAAGTGGAATTGTTCAAAAAGAAAACCCATTATAGCAGACTCGCTCCTTCAATATGACAAGAACAAGGCTATAATTTTTCAAATAAAGCTGTAAAATAAACTTTAAGTATATTTTAACCTATTTGAAGATAGAAACCCGAAACTATGAACAGTAGGAACAGCTTTTGTTATATTTTAACGGAATTAACTGTTAGGCACTATTTAGAAATTTATGGGTCTTCCAAATCTACCATTGACAATGGTATTCATCAATCATGAACTCTTAGAAAAGGATTTTGCATTACCAACTCAAACGTTATGCTTTTTAAACGCTTCCGCCGAAGCTTTTATTCAACAATTTGAGAAATGACACAAAACTCCGACTTGTTCGAGAAATTTGAAGCACGTATTCCTTAATCTTTGATGGAGTAAATACAAATCAACCCTCTTTTTAAACCCAGTAATAATTATAAATCTGGAATCATGTAATATAAATCAATTTAAATTTTTGTAAATTTAAAGAAGTTTTGTCTGTTGTGTTCCAAGGAATGAAATCTTTTTATAATATATTCTGGAATATAATACCAGAAAAGCGAAATTCGATTTGCGCATTAAAAGTGTTTCTTTGAAAATACGACTTGAAGAACGAAGGTTCAAAACCTCTCTGAAGATGAAACAAAAGTTTTAGATAAAGTATATTTCTAATAATAGTCGTCTCTCGGCAATCGATATCAAATTTTCTTACGAAGTTCTGACATGAAAGAGCAACTCATACAAACCTTTCCGTCGTTTTGAGGGAAACTGAAACAAGTAGAATCTACATTTGTCAGTTAACTCCAAGTACCAGTAATACCACATAAGAAGCTGGACCACAGACAATATAGAATTTAAAGTAATATTTCAAAGAATATATGTGGTATGAAAACAAAGCAGAGATACTCGAGTAATTTAAAACTAACTTTATCATAAAAGACAAATCCAGTTGCGCTCACACAAATCAATATATTATATGAACCATAAGCCACAAGTACCATTATTATTATTATTAAAAATTCAATGAAGTATATAAATTGAAAGATTAATAACAAAAAATTCAGAGAAATGATCTTAAATCAATTAAAAAACACTCATCAAGCGAATGGATGTTGTGGGCACTACAAAAAAGAAAAAAAAAATATTTTTATACTAAAGCAAACAATACAATGGAGGAGAACTCAACAGCTGGTCCAAAAGACAAACAAATATCGAAGCGAAAAAATCAAATAAATGTCTTGAAAGACAAACACACAAAACTTTACGGTGGGCATAAGACAAGCTGGAAGAATTTATAATTTGCAAACAAAATTTTTGACCAAATGCAAAATTTCGGAGCAACTTGAAAGCAAGTACAAAAACAACACAGCCATTAATAATTATAATAAAAGAGAAACGCCAGAGGATGCGGACGGTGTTTGGGCAAAGGCCGAAGAGTGATACGTTACGAATGGCACGAAATAAATTGGTCAAGTGTGCATGCGATTTGCTTATATACGTTATATTGTTTATGGGGTACCTCAGACTGATATAGCAGTTTACTGTAAATAAAAGAATTTATATTTAAAGCTACAAGGTGCTGCCAGATTTTATTTTTGCTGTAAAAAGCTAATATAAGTTTACGTTAATTTGTGTTAAATAAAACTCAAAAGTGGTTTTGAATTTTACTTTATTTTACTTATTCTCTAGTGCAGGCTTTTTGAGGGTTTCAAACGGGCCTTTTAATGTAGTCAATTAGTTTCTAATTGTTTCAGAAAAAATTCACTTAATTAGCATCTCAATTGGAAAAATTACGCACACTCACTCAGTTAGCCGTATGTTTGAACATCCTAATTCTTAAAGCGCAGTGCGCACTACCTTAGAGATTAAGTACAAAATACAGAGAAACTTAAACAAAGGCTGTTAAGTTTTTAGTTCACCCGGCGAAGGGATGGACCACTCGATTTGAAGTTTCCACACGATTTTTTACATAGTATATTTATCAGATAATGATTGAAGCAATAAATTGTTTGATAATAATTTTTAATTTTTTAGCTACTCTGCAAGGTAAAACTACGAGTCTTATAGAAAAAAGTTAAAATGCAATGTTGTAGGTAATGAAAAGATCTCTAACTTTATTTCTTATTTGTATTTAGACTTTTTTCATATAACCTAAATTTTTATGTGAAAAATTCAAATAACCAAGTTTTTAGGTTTTTATTTTTATATTGTACAATGTTTTCTGTCACGAAATTTGCAGTTAACTTAGCTACTAATGTCTCAGATAAAGGGTAATTTTTTAATTTAAAGTATTAAAGAAGAAACCTTATTTCGACTAAAAAACGAAAAAACCCCTAATTTTTAAAAAAGTCAGTAGGCTTTATGTTTATTGAAATTTCCATTTTCTAATGGTATAAAAATATATACATACACTACAATGGTAAATTTGCTCAGAAAATGTAAAAAAAAGTCCACAAATAACCCCTTAAAAGACCGACCTTCTTGTTTACCATGACTTCTAGATATAATGCAGCCGAGAATTTTATCTTGGCACAATCGTAAGGAAACTACTGCATATTGAAGAAATGTTCAATGAATTTGGCTTATCAGCACATATACCGAACAATATTTGTATCGGTGAATCGATTAGATAAGAAAGAAGTTTTGACCATGAAATGCTTGTATGGGCAAATTAAGAATATTAGATAAGAGCTACGAATACTAAGACGTTATCAGCACGCGTAAACATACTTAGTTAACTGATTTTAGCTATTGCTCATTTGATTTATCAGCTTAGCCTATATTCGCCCATAAAGAAAATGTGACACTCGTATGACATAAATAATAGTTTCGGTGGAGTTAAGCAGTTAAATTGACAAAATGGCAGCATTTAAAAAATAGGTTGAACTTTATGCAAAATTTTGGTCGTCTTTGGCCTGTCGAAATTCGATTTTTGATCAGATCAAAAAACTGATAGGTCAATGTATGGAGAACTATGTATGTAAAGTTTTGAGAAAAAGGTGTTTAACGATAACTGATGGAGCTGATTGAACTGAGCGGCTACACTTTAGAATGCAATACAAAAACTATTTGAGATATTGAGTTGAAAGTACCAAACGCAACACCCTATACATATCTACTTCTATATATATATTTTAGCATTTTTGTACTGCATATAAAATATACATATGTATATACATCTACTTGTATATGTATATGTACGTATGTATATCGTCATTGAAAGTGTGACCGTGCAGTGTGCGGCTACTGACCAAACGGAACATCTCCACTTGATCGGTGACCAGTAATCGGTGTTGCCGTGAATGCATGTCAGTGTGTCATGTAATCTAACAGTTTAAGTGACTGCACTAGAAATTGCGTTTTCAGTTGCACATAATCGCACACACATATACATATGTACATACAGGTAACAAGCGTATGTATGTATACGGAGAGCATGCATTTTTCCAATGCACACAAATCGAAGCGGATTATGGCTGGAATTTTGTTAGATAAATGGCATGCGATGGTCAACTCCCAACTTGCGAATCCGGTTAAACAGCACGAAATGCAATGCAAAAGAGAAACCCACTAACCACAGTTATAGTGCATATACCATATATATGTGTACATATGTACATAGCATGTATGCAAAAGTTTATGTTGTCTCTAATCATTTGATATATTTTTGTACAAACATACTACATACATGCATACATTCACACATACATTTACACATATATGTATGTATATACAACCAGTTAGCTGCATAGCCATACAGTTGGCTGTCCTGTTGGTTTGGCATACAAACAACAAACACACAGGTGCACAGCCACTACTAACACCGTTCATTCCGACTGTTGTTGTTGCCCCCAAAAGCAAATCAGATTTTGTTTAGTCTTTCTCTCTTTTTTCTGATTGGAAATTAGTGACCATGTGTTTGATTTCGAAGCTGCCAATTTTACCCATAAATTACTTGTTTACCGTTGTATTTGTAGAAAAGGAAATTTCAGAAAGTTGGCTTCCATTCAGATTTAGTGTCACGTTAGGTTAGTTAGCCAATTAATTGTGTTCTTGTAGCCAAGTGAAATCGGAATGGATGCAAGGAAGACTGCTAAGGAGAGCTTAGCAAGATATAACATATGCGTAAAAAATGATGGCAGTGAAAGCAGATTTTGTTGGATTTTATTGATTTTATTCTAAAAATTAACAATTGGAAAGCCTCCTAGTAAAGGTTAGGTTATGCATACATAGACCGAGTGAATTTAAGTAAGGCCAGATAGAGGTTCAGTTCAACTTGAGCTCAAGTATTCCTCATACAAAACGTTAATGCTTTTTGCGAACTTTAAGCGTGACATGATATCTAATTTTGATACTTAATGTAATCCCTTTAACTACTAAGCTCTTAGATATCTAAGACGAATTCTAGTTAAATCTGAATAGAAATAGAAGAGGTGTTCCAGCGTCACTCGTGTCTATTTCCTGAACTTGCTTTCCGGCCGCTACATTAACAACAAACCGGCTAAGGGTCGACATCTGCATTCTAAACGTGTTACTAATCGAGGAAGAGAGGTATTGATCAAAGGAAAAAGTATTTGATTATAATTTCACACTTTTAAGCCATTATAAAGTGTACATTTTTTTCATAAAAAAATAGGAAGCGGCCATTTTGTAAAAAATCTAAATTTTGACTAGTCCTTCGTACATTACCTGAATTAATCTATTGTATTTTATTCTTTTGGCTTTTGGATTTGACATAATTTTAAGCAGAAAAATTGTTCCCACCGTCAGAGCTCTTCTTTTGGAGGTCCCTCTACCGATCGGCTACGTGATTAAAGTACAATAAATTCTGTACATGTAAATTCTATAAAATATTATATAGTACATGTAAATAGTAAAAATTATTAGTGGACACTAAGTTTACCTTAAAAATATGTAATTCGCCTTCTTACTTCAAAAATCAATCAGAAAACCATTCTTATTTCCATCATTGTATATAAAATGCTTTTTTTTCCATTACTTTTTAAATATTTTTCACTTTATCGTCCACTTGCTTACACTGGAATTTCCTGAATTTAAATCAATATAAATAAATACACATAATTTTCATTTAAATTTTTCAACAATAACTTATTATTTTTCACTGCTTTTAACTTTAATTTATTTCTTCGTTGAACCGAATTTTGTTATTACTATTATTTTTTAATAAACACGCACAAACATAAAACGCCGAATATTGTGGCAGAACATAAACAACAAATTGAATACTGCGAACAATATGAAAAACAAATACACCATAAAACGAAAGAAAAAACAACAGCAACAACACGCACTGCGCAGAATGCCCAACAACACCTGTGCGCCGGCAAAGCAGCAAACCAGTACTATCCAACTTGGCTATTAATGGTTAGTACCTATGCACATACAAATGTACATACATACATACATACGTATATAGTTGGTGTTTTCATGAAACTTTCGCCTGTTGCGCCTGCGCTATGCTATTGTCATGCACGGGAAGATGAGGAAAAAAGGAAGTACAAAACTGCTGCAAAAGCCAATGTTTGCGGCCTATTATTTTTTGTTGGTTGGCGTGCTATATGGACTGTGTATTTTGTAAAAAGGTATATAAAAGCCTGACTCTCGCAGTAGGTGCCGGTCGGACGGTGCACTGTTGCACGCTTCAATGCACAACGGCGTCGACCAACTTCAACTGAAACACGGGTTATATATTGTTAGTAGCAGCAGCAACAACAAACAATAAACAAAGTAAGTGAAAAAGTTATAGCAACAGCAGTTCGTTGATATTCAAAAAAGGGGACACTTTGTTACCACAAATACGGCTGTTGCCACAAAAATGGTTATTGCTTTTGACACTTTTTTGTTACGCTTTTACACTTGACAGCTGCAACACTGTAGTGCTGCTTTGCTTATTTTAATTTATTTTAATATCAGTCACTTTTGACTGCACTAAATGCACTACAATTACTCGAACGGTGCAACAATTTTCATTTATGCTCCACATTATCTTCACTGGCAAGTTGCAACATATGCGCACACATTTTAAGACACAAATGCATAGATATTTAGATATTTATGTACGCCGCACACAAACCGGGCCAACGAACATCTAATAGGCCAACAAGAATGCTCACCACCATTTACTCTACACAGTTACGCCTTGTCCGTTTTCTTTCTACGTCTACAAAACTGTTTTCAACTTTATTAATGCTTTATTAACTTTCTTTCGTCGGTTTATTTGCTGCTTTTGGTTGGATCTTCTTGCGCTTTACCCGATTTTCATAAATTTACGGTTATTACTAACTGCAATTTTAATTGAGTGCAATAAAATTTGAAGTTTGTTAAACACGCACCGGAAATTAACGTAAAGAATAACGTTTATAAATATGCGAACTCAATATTTTAACACAAAATTACACGAATAACACCGCTAAGAGTGTAGCAACGCGTCAAGGAGACGAAAGTGAAACAAATGAAACGAGTTTACAAATGCATTGTGGGAAATTGTAAAAATAAACACGCAGCAGCGAAGTTGCTTGCGTTGAATTTATTTGATATCGTTCAAGATAAATTCGCCGATATGAGTGATCAGCAAACAGCTGTTGGCACAGGGTTGCAATATTTTTCTCGTTAAAAGTGTTTATGGTGTTCACAATGTCAAGCTCTTTACAAAAATCAAAAAGGGGGGTTATATTTTTCTAAATTAATTCGGAATCTTTTTGCAACAATAGCAATTTTATAGATGAATATTCAAGTTATGGTACACACAAATTTAAAACTAAAATGTCATTAAAAGTGATAACCTGCAAATGAATTTAAATTAATAATTAACAAAAAATTGACATCGAAAACGCGTTCGTTGTTTAAGTCTTTTATGCGGCTAAATCAAAACATAATCTCAAACAACACTAACAATAGTTGTTGTTATAGCGGTTATCTTATCCTCGGTTGAGTGCTAAGGTTCGGGTTGGTTGTCATTGAAGTCATCTAACGATAGATTAAGGAAACATGCTGTTTCGACGAGGTCGGACCATAGGGAGTAATGAGTTAGATGAGTGGGGTTCGCTGGGCATGCAAAGAGGTGGTCGGTTCTGTATAAGTAGGAGGACCTTCTACAGTATCCAGAGCGAAGTAGTGTAAGGGTCACTCTCGATTACAGGGGCAACTCCAGCTCTTCGTCTGCAATGGGTGGTGGTTTCACTTCAAGTACGCCATTCTCTGAAAGAGAGTCGGTGAAGGTGTTAATCGATCTACTTTCAATGGCCGTAAGTGCGTGTCTAAAGTTAGTTGCATCCGAAGTCTGGTCGGCGTACTGTTAGATGTCGTCGAGGTAATTAAAGAAAATAACTCTTGATGTTTCTAGGAGGCGGCTCTGCTTCAAGCAGACGACTGCAAGGATGGTTTCTACTGGGAGACGAGCTCATTAAGTTTCTTAACCAGAAGCAGGCGGGCCTTGGATCAAGGATCACTCTTGCTGTAGTAGTGAAGATCCTTCGTTTGCGTACTTTATGACCGGCCGCCCGTTGGCTTGCATGTTGCCAACAAAGTTTCTTTGTTTTTTCCTATGAGCTGTCAGCAAACGACTTGAGGATTTTGTTGCGGCTATGTACTTTGGCAGTTATCGCGGTCGTAGTTGAGAGACTTTCGAAATGTAAAAGTTAAACAGTAACGGGTTGCGGACACTCCCCCGCAGAATGTAGTTTTGAGCCTCTCAATGTAGTTTTCACCTCGAAAGAGTACGGATGAATGTCGACCTCTCATGTAGTTCATAATCCACCGCTTCAACCCTGGAGGGAGCGTGCTTTGTTCTATGTCCACAAGTAGCGTTATGTGGTTGACTGTGTCAAAAGCTTTTGACAAAAGGATCGTCCTCTCACAGGGTGGCTTTGGATTTCGTATTTCAAGAGTGATCTGCGACAGGTTGAGGACCCTAGCTACGTAGCTTACTCCCGTCGATCCTGGATGATTTAGCATCAATATGCTTATGCCATCGGGGCCAATGGTCTTGAATAACTTAGCCTTGTTGATGACGCTCCGGAAATCCTCATCGGTGAAAGTAAATGGCGTTGTAAACAAACAATGCTACTGTTTTTTGCATTTATTATTTGACTAATATTACACGCGCCGAGTGACACAATATTCAAAATAAACGATTATTGAGTAAAAGCTATAAAATATAACATGTAACAAATGAAATTGAAAATAATATTATGTAAGTAGAAATTAAACTATGTATATCGGAGCTATAAATACATCCACAACGCAGATATATAAAATAATGACAAGTTAAAAATAATGATAATCAAATGTTAAATAAACGAAATTAGCGCTAACAGAAAGTACAAGTAAAAATAAAATAACACAAAGAATGCGTAATAATGACAATTTAAACTGGATGCTACATAAAATTTCTTCGAAAATCGTAACTATTTTTATAATGTATATATGTAATTGTTGTAAACGACATGATTAATGAAATAGGCTAATTAATTGTATACAGCTAGCAAAATGAGCTTTAGTAGGCGCTCTACTTTTTATTTGCTGCACAAACTTTTCAAGCGGCGGCGCTACTTAGGTGGAGTGCTTTTTGCTGCACGGCAGTCTCATATATATAAAAAATTTGTTATTCTAAAAATCATGGCAGTCTTAAAATTAATTAATTTTCTAACATGCTATTATTACAATTACTATAAAACTTGGCTTTGAATATTGCATACGAGACAATAATTGCGCGTATATAACTACGAATTATACAAATATAAGTTATTAAGTAAGTATTTTAGCTAATGCAAAAAGGCAGCTGACAACCGTGATATAAATGCGTTTTATGAAATATGTTTGGCAACGTAAGTATTGCAATTGTCTGTTGTCAAGATGCAACGATGTTGATGTCCGAGCACTTCGATGGTGTTGAACAACAAACCATGCTTACGTCAAGTTGTGTTGTTGGCGATAGCGCGCCATCACTCTTTTGACTTGCGCCCATGGAGCAGGTGGAAGAACAACCACTGGCCGGCATATCATTAAAGCCACTATCAACACGATAGAATACGGCGCGCGTTTCCGCAGCGCTAACAATAGCTTGCTTGTCAAGACCATTATGCTGGTCGTTTACTTTTTGCAACTGTTGTTGCTGCTGTAATGCATGTTCTTTAACAATCAATTCATCCACTATGTTTATATCAATGCGCGGCAAATCTATTGGCGATATTGGTAAGTTTTGTTTTTCTGCTTTTTGCTTTTCATCGGCCACTTGCTCTTCTTCATCATCTAGCCAATTAAGCGAAAAGGATTGTGATAAATTTTTGCGACTCGCCGAACGTCTTTTACTACGCGGCGTATCCGCGGAGCTCGAACTACAATTGAAATTTTGTGCGGACAACTGCGACACTTGCATTTCATCGTCATCAAGTAACTCTTGCGTTTCGTCGGGAGCGAATATATCATGCTCTTGTGTTTTAGTATCACGACCCGTGGTTGTTGTTGGTTTTATGCACTTCGCACTATTCACCGCTAAACGACTGATTTTCATATTGAAACTGCTATCAATTGAATGATGACCGATTGCCGATTCCAATTCAGTAGAGCAATATGCCAAACGTAATGGTGAAGAACTACGATCAGGCGTAAATTTGTCACCGTTGGTGTTACCAGCATCAATACAAGCTAAAGAGAGATCTCCGTTTATAGTTGCTTCACTCTGGTTCAGCGCATTGCAACGATAGGTATTTTTGGAATCTTGCTGTGATTTGTTTGTAACCTCCCGTTTGTCATGACACCGTCTACTCGTTTGTCGTACCGGTGGATGTATTGGTGACAGCTGCTCGACATCATCTAGTTCCTGTAGAAAAGTTTGAATACGTGATTTCAAGCCAGAGTGACGTTTTTGCGGCGAATGTGGCGAGTTGGATAGACCATCGGATGCTGAAATTGGAGAAAGCGAGCCGAATGAACTCTTGTCCATAGAATCTGAAAGAGTGCCAACTATGGCAAAATGACCACCACGCGTACTTTCACAAGCGGAAGATGGACTGGAGTTGGAATATGTCGTTTTACTTTTGGATTCAGCTGTCGATGTTCTACCCTCTTCGAGTACTACAATATTATTCATATCGAATAGTTTACGTCGCAATGAAATGTCTTTAGCATCACTAAAGGTATATGCATTTGAATCGCTACTAAACCGTATTTGCGAATCGGCGTCACAGTTTGTCCGATCAGCAATTGCTAAATGTGGTTGAAAATATGGCATTAGTGCTTCTTCTACAGCGCGGGGCAAGATTACCGGCAATGATAATTCTGTTTGTGTGCCACAATCACGTATACGTCGTCCTGGTTTAGTAATAGGTGTATTGCCATTTAATTCGGAAAGTATGATGCGATGACTTCGTAAAGGGCAATCAACTGGGCTCGGCACAATTTGATGTTCCTTGAAATAAGAACTTATAGCCGATTGAGCTTTGGCTTCATAATCAGGGTCGGGCGAGTCGTGAAATTGCGTTTCGTGCGGCTCGACATGCGCTGGTTTTAATGAAGACACTTCATCGATATTCCATTCGAAATGTGTTGACGACAGTTGGGGTGTCGAAGGCCGCTGAAACAAGGATGGGCTACGCAAGCATTATAATTATTTATGTGAAGGTAGGAAAGCTATATTTTACACAAACCTGGCAATTAGTGGTAAATGCAAGCGCTCCGCTAAGACTGGTTCGAAAGGATTGCGTATGCGTTGAAATCGTTTCGCTGGCGGCGTACTCATGAGGGTGGAACAAGTTATTTGCTTTGACGAACTACTGCCAATACTGCTTATAGTTGATATGCTACAACCTATCGCCTTACTTGGTGTACGTGGATGCATTTTCTTATGACATCTCCCATTACCGGGTGTAGTTATCAATTCTAAATTTTCGTTACCCACTTTGTGTGTCAATTTACCACTCATATGGACCGCTGAAAATAGCTTCAGTGGTGTTGCAGTCTTTTCATAATCCATATTAATTAAAAGCACAATTAAAAGATAGAAGTTTATTTAATCGCGGATATACGCCCGCTGCCCATCCAAAATTCGAAATATAGCAGATATTGAAATTACCCTAACAACCGTTTGCCGTGATTGGATATGGGAAATTTAGCGCAGTGTTGCAATTGCGTTTAAAAATATATGCAGAGAATGCAAACTGTATCTAATTTAAATAAATTATTTATTTACATTCTCTGGTATATGTGATAATAATAAACATAAATGGAATGTGATATTTTAAATACTACAAACTGTTTTCTTAACAACTTCACTCATAAACTTTTTTTTTGGGTTTTTTTTTCCAGAGAATGTTAATTATATAATATATAAAAAATATCTTCAACATTTACTGGTTTTACAATTTATATTGCATTTTATAACATAATACCAAATTACAATGTAATCTAATAAAACCAAAATACAGAGGTGTAAAAGAGAATTTAAAGGTGAAACAAAATAATTTCTAAAATATTTAAAAATACTCTTCTTAAAAATTAGAAACTGAGTACAATTTTTAAATAATTTTTTTGTTTTTAATGTGTAAAAGTCAAGAACACCCTGTGCACCTGTTCCCAGAGCAGAAAATATAAAATAACTTCTCTGATGTTCCCTATCAACAGTGCTACCAAGTTCATTGTCATTATACCGGCTGTTATTTTTCGTTCACCTGCGTTTGTAACAGTCGGTTTTCCCTTTCTTTCCATATCGCCAGTTCGATACTTTTTTCTTACTCGCACTTTCTCAGCTGAGTTTACTGTCAGAATCGGCCGCTTCAGTCACTGGAACGACGCACACAGAGGGCAGCGGCCGATGAAAATCAACGGCGAAAGAGAATTCTGTTAACTACAACAAAAAATATTTGCGTTAGCAGAGAAGCCAGTCAACGGGCAACGAAAACGAAAAGATACGTCGCACGGATGCGGACAGAACGGCGAAAAAATCGAATAACGAATCGGCCACAAAAGCGAAAAACTGTGAAACGGAGAATCGGTGCGTCGCCAGAGGGCAGTGAAGTAAAGTTGGATAAAATCGCCAAAAATTTGTGCACTGTGCAAAAGGTCGTATCGCAAAGTTATCGATTTAGTTTGGAGATTAGCTCCATTTCCAGGCAGAAAAGGCGACAAAATTGTGCGAAAACAGCGTAAAGGTAAAAAAGCTCTCAAATCCAGGAAGAAATTAAAAGCAGAAGGAACAGAGACTGCTGACATTGGTGGTGTAAAGTGTGTGGATAATCGTAGTGACGGCCGGTGTGCTGTTGATTCGCAAGCAATCGTTGTTGGTGTTGTTGGCAGTGCAAGTAATTGTGTTAGTGTTAGTAGTGTTGGTGTCGACGTACGGTGCACCAAGAAGCAACATAGCCAAGGAGCAGAACGGGGTAAACGAAAAAAAAGAAAAAACGCACCACAAGGTGCTGCAAAGGCAACGACAACGAAGAAGACTGGGCGAACAGTCTCTAGAGGAAAATCAGGTGGTGCGGGTAAGAAGGTAACAGCATCAGCTGAAATCGGAGCCGGTAGCGTAAGCGGTCGCAGCAGTGGTAGCGAAAATAATAGTAATAGTAGTAGTAGCAGCAGCAGCAGAGCTAGCGTCGGCGCAGGCGCGGACACAGAAGAAAAGCAGCTGACCGCAACGCCACCACTACGCAGGACACGCAGCCAACAGCAGCTGCAAGAGGAGACGACGCCTAGTAGAACTGGTGGAGCAGCACGTAGTAGTGGTGTTCGACGCACGCACGCTGCTCCAGCAGCTGCGGACGCTGTTGGCAAAGGCTGCGAGTTGACAATTACTATGGCGGAGACGGGCTGTAAGCATTTCCAGGCGTACGTGAAGGAGCAAAGCTTAGATACGTTTCGCATTATTGATGCATACTTTTCGGCGTGTGTGAATAAGGATGCGCGCGAGAAAAAGGTGTGTGTTGAAACAATTAAACAAATGTGTGTGAAATTAATAGAGATATGTTTTTAAAATGTATGTATATCTGATAAAATTTTGAAATTATATGAAATACGAGTATATTTTTTTTTGAATTTGTCATAGGCGCTTTCCTGCTGTTGCTTTGAGTGTGGCAGCTACGGTTTACAAGTGTATGCTTGCCTCCATTGCATCTACTTTGGCTGTCGTGGCGCACACATAGCTACACACTTACGTGCGAAAAAGCATTCAATCGCATTAGAGCTATCACACGGCACACTGTATTGCAACTCTTGTCGTGATTTCATCTATGATACGCGTTGTCGAGAGATAGCAGGTGTTAACCGACGTTTGGAAGCGAAAGATCTGAGTAAAAGTCTCAGCTGGCAGCCATGGATACCAACGCCAAAAGAGACAAATTTGCTGTTAGCTAACCCGCGTCGTCGTCGTATACGTGCCAATGAGACAATAGGCCTACGCGGTTTAATTAATCTCGGCTCCACATGTTTCATGAATTGCATAGTGCAGGTAAGCGACAATTGTGATTAATTAATGACTGCAAGTGAATTATTATTCTTTTTTTATTTATGTTTTATTTAGGCATTAATTCATACGCCACTGCTATCTGATTATTTCTTATCGGAGCGACACGAGTGCAATGCTAAGTCATCGTTGAAGTGTCTTGTCTGTGAGGTTTCGCGTTTATTTCAAGTTTGTGAAATATAATTATGCATTTAAGTGTTTTACATATTACTTGTTGTTTTTATTTAGGAATTCTACAGTGGCTCTCGCTCACCATTATCATTGCATCGGTTATTGCATTTGATCTGGAATCATGCAAAACATTTGGCCGGCTATGAACAACAGGATGCACATGAATTTTTTATAGCCACGCTGGACGTGCTGCATCGTCACTGCATTAAAGCTAAAACAGAGGTTGAGAGTGCCAACAAATTGAATAATGCCACATCGTCGAGTGGCAGTGGTACCGGTGGTAGCTCCGGTAGTGGTAGTCACAATACGAATACGGCTGCAAATGTGAATAGCAACTGTCCAACACAATGTAACTGCATTATAGATCAAATTTTCACCGGCATGTTACAGAGTGATGTCGTTTGTCAGGAGTGTAAAGGCGTTTCGACCACCATTGATCCGTTTTGGGACATATCATTGGATTTAGGCGAGACGGCGCATGGTGGTAGCACACCAAAGACGCTAATCGATTGTTTGGAGCGTTATACACGCGCCGAACATCTCGGTGAATATGGTAAAATAAAATGTTCCACCTGCAAATCGTATCAGGAATCGACAAAGCAGTTTAGCCTACGCACACTGCCTAGCGTGGCGAGTTTTCATTTGAAACGCTTCGAACATGTATCCACATTGATTGGCAAGAAGGTCTCTACGTTCATCTCATTCCCCGTCGAGCTAGATATGACGCCGTTTATGTCGGAGAAGAATAATGCTTACGGTGATTTTCGCTACTCACTATATGCCGTGGTCAATCACGTAGGCACTATCGATTCTGGCCATTATATAGCCTATGTGCGTCATCATAAAGATACTTGGGTTAAGTGTGATGATCATATTATCACAACGGCAACATTGAAGCAGGTGCTGGACAGTGAGGGGTATGTATGCATAAATGTTTAATGTTTGGTTTTTGGAATATATTTTTCGATTTATATTATTTGAATATTCTGTGCAGTTGCTTCATTGCAAAAAATATTCAATTTTAAATTTAACACATTTTATTTTGCAATTTCTTTTATACGTTCCTTTTCTCTCTTTGTTTCAGCTATTTACTATTTTACCACAAGAACATTTTGGAATATGAATAGACTGTTTAAACGTAATAATAATATTAATTATAAAATACAACAACAAACTACTACCCTTAGTACTACATAATGACAACAAGATTAAAAAAATACAAAAACGTACCACAGCAAACTACATTTACAATTACAACAAAAACAAACAAATACTTAAGCTATTATTAATAATGCCGTAAACAAACGCTGTATGTGAACAGCGAGGAAGAAGCGGGGCAGCAAGATAAAACAAAAAACAAATAAAATAAGTATTTGTTGGAGCAGTAAAAATAAGCAACAAAAATAGCAGCCAAGGAGAAATACAGTGAAAGCCAATAAATTTGTGCAACTTTAGCTGTCGGGATCATGTGTTCGTGCTAACGCGCTAATGTGTGGATGCACAAAGCATGTGGCGTAAGTGCAGACGCCAGCGCGCATAGCTGCCTGTAGCATTCATAATTTTGCTCTTATTGTCGAAACGCTAGTAATAACGCTGAAACCAACAGTAAAAACAAAACTCTTAATGCTAAATATGATTTAAAAAAACAACAACAAAAATAGTTTATTCAATATATATTAATAATTTTTATTTATTCTAAAGAAAAGAACATAAAAATGAAAGAAAACAAAAGCAAAATAGTATTGTTGGCCGCTTTAATGGCTATTTTATTTTCTCCCTCTTACTTCCGCAACTCTTTGTGTAGTTCTTATTTGATTATATTTGTATTATTTTTTTTT